CATCCAGAGGTTCCACAGCTGGATGTGACCCCATGGAGCTCCTCCAGAGGTTCCCCAGCTGGGTGTGGCCCCACAGAGCAGCCCCCAGCCCTCCCCAGGACACTCACCTGTCCCCAGGTCCTTCCTCCTCCTCCTGGCCCTGGCAGCAGCCGCCCCCCGTGCCCGCGCTGTGGGGCCCCGGAGCAGCTGCGGGATCAGCGTCCCCTTGAGACCTGGGGACACAGGGACTGTCCCTAAAACATCCCTGGGGACACAGGGACACTGGGGACACTGGGACTGTCCCTAAAACATCCCTGGGGACACAGGGACTGTCCCTAAAACATCCCAGCCACAGGGACACAGGGGACACAGGGACACCCCAAAACCCCAGAGAACCCCCCACCCTCCCAGGGGGCTCCTTTGGAGGGGAGGGGGGGGTTTTATCCTGCTCCCACTGGGGTTTGCACCTTGTGGGGTTATTGGGGTGAAGCTTTTGGGGTGCAGAACCTCCTTAATGGGGTGAGAGCCAAACATTCCTGCTGTGGGTTATGGGAATGAACCCCAAACATTCCTGCTGTGGGTTATGGGGAATGAACCCCAGATATTCCTGCTGCGGGATTTGGGGAATGAACCCCAGATATTCCTGCTGTGGGATTTAAGGGAATGAACCCCAGATATTCCTGCTGTGGGATTTGGGGAATGAACCCCAGATATTCCTGCTGTGGGATTTAAGGGAATGAACCCCAGATATTCCTGCTGCGGGATTTGGGGAATGAACCCCAAATATTCCTGCTGTGGGAAGGGTTCAGGGGGAATGAACCCCAGAGGCTGCTCTGGGAGGGGGTTCAGAGTTCCCAGCCCTGCAAAAAGACCCCAAACCCATTGGGATCTGCCCCCCAGCCCCAGTGCATCTCTGTGCTCACAGCAGGATGGGGCAGCACAAACCCAACGCCCAGGGGATTCGGGACCATGGAATGGCCCAGGAGGGTTTTTAGGGTGCCCCCCAACCCCTGCCCAGAGGATTTGGGACCAAGGGGATTTTTAGGGTGCCCCCCAACCCCTGCCCAGGGGATTTGGGACCAAGGGGATTTTTAGGGTGCCCCCCAACCCCTGCCCAGAGGATTTGGGACCAAGGGGATTTTTAGGGTGCCCCCCAACCCCTGCCCAGGGGATTTGGGACCAAGGGGATTTTTAGGGTGCCCCCCAACCCCTGCCCAGGGGATTTGGGACCAAGGGGATTTTTAGGGTGCCCCCCAACCCCTGCCCAGGGGATTTGGGACCAGGAGGGTTTTTAGGGTGCCCCCACCCCCTGCCCAGGGGATTTGGGACCATGGCATTCCCCGCCCGCTCCCACCGCTGCCGTCGGCCGTGAGGAACTCGGAGAACTCCTGGGCCAGGCTCTCGTCGCTGGCGAAGGCGCAGATGCAGGCCAGGAAATGGACGCAGCGCGCGGGGGGCGACTCCTCCTCCTCCTCCTCCTCCTCCTCCTCTTCCTCGCCCTCCTCGTCCTCGTCCTCGCGCCGCTCCCCCTTGGCACGGCCGTGCCCGGGCGCGCGGCAGGTGCAGGAGAAGCGGCGCCGCCCGAAGCTGGCGTGCAGGTAGCCCAGGCCGTGCCCGGGGCCGGCCTGGCACTTGACCACCAGCACGCTCTTGGTCACCCTCTGCACCAGCGGCCCCGAGGGCTCCGCGGCCAACTCCCACAGGCTCCGCTTGGCCTCGGCGGGCGCCTGCACCGCGCCCAGCACCGAGCTCTTGAGCGGCAGCGGCGTGGCCTCGGCCCGGCAGCCCAGCGCCAGCTTCAGGTGCCGGCACTGCCCCTCGCCCCGCCCGGCGCAGGCGGGCGCGTGGCAGCGCCCCGAGCTCAGCTGGGTGATCAGGGTGCCCTCGGGGGTCTGGATGGCCGTCTCGGACACCCCCAGCTCCACGAAGCAGCGGCGCTGGCGCTGGCGCACCGAGTACAGCCGGCCCCGGGCGCCGCCCAGCAGGCGCACGGCGTCGGCGCCGCCCGGGGCGCGGCGGGCGCCCGCCCGGAACACGGCCCCGCACGTCTTGTTCTTGCAGCTGAGCCCCCGCGTGCCGTTGTAGGTGCCGCAGCGAGGGCACCTGCGGATGCCGCGCAGCGTGGCCTTGCCCAGGTCCGACAGGAAGGACGGGGCCTTGGGCCTGCCCGGGCACGGGTCCATGGGGCTGCGGAGAGACGGGAGAGGGTCACGGGGGGAACCTGGGCACAGCGAGCAGCCTGACAGGCCTGTGCCACCCTGACAGGCCCTGTGCCACCCCAGTGAGCACCCTGACAGGCCCTGTGCCATGCCAATGGTCACACTGACAGGCCCAGTGCCACCCTGACAGGCCCTGTGCCACCCCAATGGCCACCCTGACAGGCCCTGTGCCACCCTGAGAGTCCCTGTGCCACCCTGAGAGTCCCTGTGCCATGCCAATGGTCACCCTGACAGGCTCTGTGCCACCCTGAGAGTCCCTGTGTGACCCCAGTGACCACCCTGACAGTCCCTATGCCACTCTGAGAGTGCCTGTGCTACCCTGAGAGTCCCTGTGCCACCCTGGCAGTCCCTGTGCCACCCTGACAGGCCCTGTGCCACCCTGAGAGTTCCTGTGCCACTCCAGTGATCACCTTGAGATCCCCTGTGCTATGCCAATGGCCATCCTGAGAGTCCCTGTGCCACCCCAATGGTCACCCTGACAGTCCCTGGGCCCCCCTGAGAGTCCCTGTGCCACTCTGACAGGCCCTGTGCCACCCTGGCAGGCTCTGTGCCATGCCACTGGTCACACTGACAGGCCCTGTGCCACCCTGAGAGTCCCTGTGCCACCCCCAATGGCCACCCTGACAGGCCCTGTGCCACCCTGAGAGTGCCTGTGCCACCCCAGTGACCACCCTGAGAGTCCTTGTGCCACCCAGCAAACATCCTGATAGTCCCTATGCCACTCTGAGAGTGCCTGTGCTACCCTGAGAGTCCCTGTGCCACCCTGAGAGCCCGTGTGCCACCCCAGTGACCACCCTGAGTCCTTGTGCCACCCAGCAAACACCCTGACAGGCCCTGTGCCACTCCAGTGAATACCCTGAGAGTCCCTATGCCACCCTGACAGGCCCTGCGCCACCCCAGTGAACACTCTGGGAGTCCCTGTGCCACCCTGAGAGTCTCTGTGCCACTCCAGCAGTTCCTGTGCCACTCCAATGGTCACCCCGAGAGTCCCTGTGCCACTGGAATGGTCACCCTGGCACTGCCTGTGCCACCCTGAGAGACCCAGTGACCACCCTGGCAGTCCCTGTGCCACCCCGGCACTCCCCGTGCCACCCCAGTGACCACCCTGAGAGTCCCTGTGCCACCCCTGACAGTCTCTGTGCCACTCTATCTAGTCCCTGTGCCACCCCAATGGTCACCCTGGCACTCCCCCGCGCCACCTCCCCTCACAACCGGGGCTCTCTCCCCTCACGGCCAGGCCCGGGGATCTCTCCCCTCACCCCCAGCTCCCGGTTCCCCTCACGCCCAGCCCCGGGGGTCCCGTCCCCCCTCACCGGCGTTTCCCGGGGTTTCCCAGCATCCCTCGCGGCCCGTGACGTCGGCTCCGCCGCCGGGCCCGCGCCGGTACCTGGGCCCCGTTACTGCCGCCGGCAGCGCCGTCAGAGCGGCTCCACTTCCGCCACCGGCGCGCTCCTATTGGTCAGTTTGCACCACGTGGTGCACCGCGGGGTCTGCTGGGAGTTGTAGTCCAAGGAGGAGCCTAAACCCCACCCCACGCTTGGACTACAACTCCCAGCAGTCCCCGCGGCGAAAATTCCCTTTTTTCCCTCCCCAATTCCCCAATTTCCCCCCAAAATTTCGCCTTTTCCCCCCAAAATTCCGCTCATTTCCCCCCTAAATCCCAGCAGCTCCACCCGCCCCCTCTCAACCCCACCGCGCCACCACCTGACCTCTCAACCCCACCGCGCCACCCACCTGACAAAACACAGCACACACCAGCTCAGTTTTTTCATTTTTCCTTTTTTTTTTTCTAAAAAAAAAAGTTTTTTTTTCGTATTTTTTTCCATTTTGTGAGTTTTTTGTGTGTTTTTTTTTAAAGGCTGGGCGAGAGGTAGGATAAAAAAGGGCGTTTTTTTGGCCTCTGATAGATGAGGTGTGGGAGCTCTTCTCACCTTCACTCCCTTGTGAAACACACCTGGGGCTACGGAGGGAATTTTACACAATGGATTAAAAACTTTATATTCCATAGAGATATCTCATATCCACAAAACAAAGAAAGACCAAAAAAAAGGAAGATTTGAGGCATAAATCACATCAAAAGGCTCCTTTGTGTCCTACCTTTAAATAAGGAAAACGTACAAAAGTGGCCGTAGGTTGTGCAAAAATTCTTCAATTTGCTCGGAATATTTTACAGAATCAGTACAGGAAAATGTAGAAATCAGTAAAAAATTAAAAAAAAACCAACCAAGCCCCGGAGGGATCTGTTTTAGCAACAGGAATTTTGCTGTCCCAGGGTGGGAATCTTGGCTCATGTGGGGAGATTTGGGCACTTTCGAGTCCCTTTTTTTTATTTTTGAATTTTTTTTATTTTTCCCCAGCATAAGGCAAAAACCCAACCCTGAAAAACACACTGAGATCCACAAGAAAAGGATGTAAAACGAAGATTTCTCTGGTAAAAAAGCCTCCTCTAAGAGGCTCCTTTCAAACAGAGCTGTGGGGCTGAAGGCGCCTCCAGATCCCCACACTTTTGGCTTCTTTGGGGTGGTTTTTTCCCAGCTCTTTCTGAGGAAAAAAATCCCAAAAAACAAAAAAAAACAACAAACCCCCCCAAGAATGACTTTGTGCAATTCCTGCCCCGATTCTCAGCTGAGGCAGCCGAGGTCCCTGCAGTTTGTGTTTGTACAAAAACACATCAAAAATAAAAATAAACCCAAACAAAGAGCGAAGGCGGCGGCGGTGAGGGCGATCCAGCATCCGGGGGTGGTTCTGGGGTGAAAAGGGGGGGGTTTGGGTCAATCTCAGCGCTCGGGGGCTCAGGGGGGGTCAGGGGGTCTCGAAGCCCACCGCGGAACCCGGGCTGGGGGGGGCACCACGGCGCCGTTCTGGCCCTGCACGCTGAACCCGGGGGGCAGCCAGGGGGGCGACGACTGGCTCTGCCTGGAGAGGGGGAAAAAATCATTAGAGACTGGTAAAATATCCTTTAGGGATTGCTAAATTAAATAAATATCACTTAGGGATTGTTAAATTCAATAAAAACCCTTTAGGGATTGCTAGAAAAGGTGCACGCTGAACCCAGGGGGCATCCAGGGGGGTGATGACTGGCTCTGCCTGGAGAGGGGAAATAAAACATTAGGGATTGGTAAATTATCATTTAGGGATTGCTAAATTAAATAAATATCCTTTAGGAATTGTTAAACTAAATAAAAATCATTTAGGGATTGCTAGAAAAGGTGCACGCTGTACCCGGGGGGCATCCAGGGGGGCGAGGACTGGCTCTGCCTGGAGAGGGGAAAAAATCATTAGAGACTGGTAAAATATCCTCTAGGGATTGGTAAACTAAATAAATATCCTTTAGGGATTGGTAAAATATCCTTTAGGGATTGCTAAATTAAATAAATATCCTTTAGGAATTGTTAAATTAAATAAATATCCTTTAGGGATTGCTAAAACAGCTGCACGCTGTACCCGGGGGGGGCAGCCAGGGGGAGGAGCCGGGCTCTGCCTGGATTGGGGGGGAAAATATCTTTTAGGGAATGCTGAAAATATCCTTCAGGGATTGTTAAATCAAATAAATATCCTTTAGGGGATTGCTAGAATATCCTTTAGGGATTGTTAAATTAAATAAAAATCCTTTAGGGACTGCTGAAACGTCCTTTAGGGATTCATAAATGAAAATCCCTTAGGGATTGCTAAATAAGGCCTGCAGGTTGTGGGGACGGGGCCTGGGGGGGATTTGTGGGGATGAGGGAGGGGTGGCACTTGCTGGCATGTCCCCAGCTCACTGGCATGTCCCCCACCCCTGTTGGGATGTCCCCACCCCTGTTGGGATGTCCCCAGCTCACTTGGGATGTCCCCACCTCACTGGCATGTCCCCCACCCCTGCTGGGATGTCCCCATCCCTGTTGGGATGTCCCCCACCCCTGCTGGGATGTCCCCACCCCTGTTGGGATGTCCCCACCCCTGCTGGGATGTCCCCACCTCACTGGGATGTCCCCACCCCCTGTTGGGATGTCCCCATCCCTGTTGGGATTTGGGCTCAGAGGTCCCAGGACTCACCCGAAGCCCTGCTGGCTCCAGGGCCTGGCCGTACACGCCGTAGGTGGGCACCTGCCATCCGTTGGGCACGTACTGGCCCAGCTGGGCACCGCCGTACCACTGCCCCCACTGCCCGTAGGCCGGCGGGTAGCTCAGCTGGCCCCTGCGGCACACGGGCACCGTCAGCGACGGGCACGCACCGGGCATCCATCAACCCACCATCCATCAACCCACCATCCATCAACCCACCATCCCATCAACCCACCATCCATGGATCCATCAACCCATCAGCCATGATCCATCATCAGCCACCATGGATCCATCCATCCATCATCCATCCCATCCATACATCCATCATCCATCCATCCATCCATCATCCATCCATCCATCCATCCATCCATCCATCCCATCCATCCATCCATCCATCCATCCATCCATCCATCCATCATCCATCCATCCATCATCCATCCATCCATCCATCATCCATCCATCCATCCATTCATCCCATCATCCATCCATCCCATCCATCCATCATCCATCCATCCATACATCCATCATCCATCCATCCATCCATCATCCATCCATCCATCCATCCATCCATCATCCATCCATCCATCCATCCATCCATCCATCATCCATCCATCATCCATCCATCCATCATCCATCCATCCATCCATCCATCATCCCATCCATCCATCTCCATTCATCATCATCCATCCATCCATCATCCATCATCCATCCATCCATACATCCATCATCCATCCATCCATCCATCATCCATCCATCCATCCCATCCATCCATCCATCCCATCCATCCATTCATCATCCATCCATCATCCATCCATCCATCCATCATCCATCCATCCATCCATCCATCATCCATCCATCCATCCATCATCCATCCATCCATCCATTCATCATCCATCCATCATCCATCCATCCATCCATCCATCATCCATCCATCCATCCATCCATCATCCATCCATCCATCATCCATCCATCCATCCATCCATCCATCCATCATCCATCCATCCATCCATCATCCATCCATCCATCCATCCATCATCCATCCATCCATCCATCCATCCATCCATCATCCATCATCCATCCATCCATCATCCCATCCATCATCCATCTCCATCCATTCATCCATCCATCCATCCATCCATCCATCCATCCATCCATCATCCATCCATCATCCATCCATCCATTCATCCATCCATCCATCCATCCATCCATCCATCCATGGATCCATCCATCATCCATCCATCCATCATCCATCCATCCATGGATCCATCCATCATCCATCCATCCATCAATCCATCATCCATCCATCCATCATCCATCCATCCATCCATCCATCCATCCATCATCCATCCATCCATTCATCCATCCATCCATCCATCCATCCATCCATCATCCATCCATCATCCATCCATCCATTCATTCCATCCATCCATCCATCATCCATCCATCCATCCATCCATCCATCCATCCATCCATGGATCCATCCATCATCCATCCATCCATCCATCCATCCATCATCCATCCATCCATCCATCATCCATCCATCCATCCATCCATCCATCCATCCATCCATCATCCATCATCCATCCATCATCCATCCATCCATCCATGGATCCCTCCCTCCCTCCCTTCCCAGCCAATTAGCAGAGGGTTAATTAGCACCTCCCTCCATTCCCAGCCAATCAGCAGAGGTTAATTAGCACCTCCCTCCCTCCCAGCCAATCAGCAGAGGTTAATTAGCACCTCCCCTCCCTCCCTTCCCAGCCAATCAGCAGAGGTAATTAGCACCTCCCTCCCTTCCCAGCCAATCAGCAGAGGTTAATTAGCACCCTCCCTCCCTTCCCAGCCAATCAGCAGAGGTTAATTAGCACCTCCCTCCCTTCCCAGCCAATTAGCAGAGGTTAATTAGCACCTGCTGCACAGGGCTGGCCATGTCAGGGCTCTCCTTGCCCCAGTAACATTTGACCACGTGGCCCTCGATGGTGGTGCCGTTGACGGAGACGATGGCGTGGGCGGCGCTCTCATGGGAACTGAACCTGGGCACGGGGGATTGATTGACTGATTGATTGATTGATTGATTGACTGGGGTATTGATTGATTGAGGTATTGGTTGGGGGTATTGATTGGAAATATTTATTGGGATATTTATTGGGAATATTGATTGGGAATACTTATTGGGATAATGACTGGATATTTATTGGGAATTGATTGGGATATTTATTGGGATATTGATTGGGATATTGACTGGGGATATTGATTGGGAATATTGGGATATTTATTGGGATACTGACTGGGAATATTGATTGGGGTACTGATTGATTGGGGTATTGATTGGGGATAGTGATTGGGGTATTTATTGGGGGTATTGACTGGCGTACTGACTGGGGGTATTGATTGGGATATTGGCTGGGATATTGACTGGGAATATGTATTGGAAATATTTATTGGGATATTTATTGGAAATATTAATTGGGGATATTTATTGGGAAATTATTATTAGAGATATTTATTGGGAATATTTATTGGGATATTTATTGGGATATTTATTGAGATATTGATTGGAAATATTTATTGGGATATTTGTTGGGATATTGATTGAGATATTTACTGGGATATTTATTGGGATAGTGACTGGAAATATTTATTGGTATATTTATTGGAAATACTGGTAATATTTTTTGGAATATTTATCAGAAATATTTACTGGGAATATTTATTGGGATATTTATTGGAAATATTTATTGGGGATATTTATTGGGAATATATATTGCAAATATATTTACTGGTAATATTTATTGGAAATATTGGGATATTTATGGGAAATATTTACTGGGAAATATTTATAGGGATATTTATTGGGAACATTTACTGGGAAATATTTATAGGGATTTATTGGGAATATTTATAGGGATATTTATTGGAAATATTAACTGGGGGATATTTATTGGGAAATTATTATTAGAGATATTTATTGGGAATATTTATTGGGATATTTATTTGGAATATTTACTGGAAATATTTATAGGGATATTTATTGGGAATATTTACTGGGAAATATTTATAGGGATATTTATTGGGAATATTTACTGGGAAATATTTATAGGGATTTTTATTGGGAATATTTACTGGGAAATATTTATTGGGATATTTATTGGGACCCCCTCCATCCCCTGGGACCCCCCATTTTCCCCCACCTGACGAAGGAGTAGCCTTTGTCGGGGAACACGCGGATCTCCATGATCTGCCCGAAGGGGGAGAAGGTCTGGCGCATCAGCTGCTCTGGAGCAGGAAGGACGGACAGACAGACGGACAGACAGGCAGACAGACGGACAGACAGGCAGACAGACGGACAGGACCGGGCAGCAGGTGAGGCACAGCTGGCAGGGTGGGCGGGGCCGGCGCGGTGGGCGGGGCCACACGTACCTGAGAGGCCCGAGGTGACGCCCCCGCAGTACACGGTGCAGTTGCTGGGGCTGGACTGAGTGACCACCTCGTCATAGGACAACTGCTTGGTGCTGGCTGCAAGAGAGGGGTTGGGGTCTTCAGAGAGATTGGGGTTGGGGTCTTCAGAGAGATTGGGTTGGGGTTTGCAGAGGGCTGGGATGAGATTGGGGTTGGGGTCTGCAAAAGGCTGCAGAGATTGGGTTTGGGGTTTGCAAAGGGCTGCAAGAGATGGGTTTGGGGTTTGCAAAGAGATTGGGGTTGGGGTTTGCAAAGGGCTGGGATGAGATTGGGGTTGGGGTTTGCAAAGAGATTGGGTTTGGGGTTTGCAAAGGGGCTCCAAGAGTTGGGTTTGGGGTCTGCAAAAGGCTGCAGAGATTGGGTTTGTCGTTTGCAAAGGGCTGCAGGAGATGGGTTTGGGGTTTGCAAAGAGATGGGTTTGGGGTCTGCAAAGGGCTGAGAGAGATGGGTTTGGGGTCTTCAAAGAGATTGGGTTTGGCGTCTGCAAAGGGCTGCAGAGATTGGGTTTGGGGTCTGCAAAGGGCTGGGATGAGATTGGGTTTGGGGTCTTCAGAGGGTTTGGGGTTTGGAAAGGGCTGCATAGATTGGGTTTGGGGTCTTCAAAGAGATTGGGGTTGGGGTCTGCAAAGGGCTGCAGAGATTGGGTTTGGGGTTTGCAAAGGGCAGGGATGGGAACTGGGGGGCAATTCCAGTCCTGACTGGCACAGGGATTGTTGGGAATGACCTGCAAATCTCTACAGGGACAGCTCAGAGCCCTTCCAGGGCCTGAAGGGTTCCAGGAGAGCTTGGGGACAAGGGATGGAGGGACAGGACACAGGGAATGGCTTTAAACTGGGAAAATGGAGATTTAAATGGGATTTTGGGATGGAATTCCCAGAGCTGCTCCATCCCTGTTGGTGTCCCAGGCCAGGCTGGGCAGGGCTTGGAGCACTCTGGGACAGTGGAAGGTGTCCCTGCCATGGGGTGGGATGGGCTCTGAGGTCCTTCCCACCCCAGAACCTCAGGGATGCCCCATGCCAGGAGCTGCCAGGGCACAGGGTGGGCACCCACCCTCATAGGTGCTCTTGGGAGCTGGAGGTTTCCTGGTGGCCCAGTTGGTCCTGATCTGCCGGCCCCCCGAGCCACTGGCCCCCCCATCTGCTGGATGGCGTTCTCGGCGTCCTGCGGGGGACAGAGGGACAGAAAAACCCCAGTGACCCCACTGCTGGCACCCCTCCTATGGGACAGGGCCACGGGGGAACCCCAGTGTCCCCCCTGAGTGTCCCCAACCCATTCCCATGGGACAGGGCCATGGGGGTGACCCCAGTGTCCCCCCTGAGTGACCCTGCAGTGTGCCCAACCCCTTCCCGTGGGACAGGGCCATGGGGGTGACCCCAGTGCCCTCCTGAGTGTCCCCCAACCCCTCCCATGGGACAGGGCCATGGGGGTGACCCCAGTGCCCTCCTGAGTGTCCCCAATCCCTTCCTGTGGGGACAGGGCCATGGGGGAACCCCAGTGTCCCCCCTGAGTGACCCTGCAGTGTCCCCCAAGCCCTCCTGTAGGACAGGGTCATGGGGGAACCCCAGTGTCCCCCTGAGTGACCCTGCAGTGTCCCCAATCCCTTCCTGTGGGACAGGGTCATGGGGGAACCCCAGTGTCCCCCTGAGTTTTTACCCATTTTTGAGGAAGGAACCAAAGATCTCTCATCCATTTATTGAATAAGGAAATAAAAGGATTTTACCTATTCATTAAAGAGGGAAATAACGGATTTTACCCATTTATTAAATATGGAAATCAATTATTTTACCAATTTATCAAAGAGGGGAAATCTAGGGATTTTACCCATTTATTAAGAGGGAAATGAAGGGTTTTTACCCATTTTTGAGGAAGGAAACAAAGATCTCTCATTTTAGTAAAGAGGAAATAAAGGATTTTACCCATTTATCAAAGAGGGAAATAAAGGGATTTTACCCCTTTTATCAAAGAGGGGAATAAGGGATTTTACCCATTTTTAAGGAAGGAACCAAAGATCTCTCACCCATTTATTAAAGAGGGAAATAAAGGATTTTACCCATTTATTAAGAGGGAACTGAAGGGGTTTTACCCATTTTTGAGGAAGGACCCAAAGATCTCTCACACCATTTATTGAACAGGGAAATGAAGGGGTTTTACCCATTTACTGAAGAGGGAAATAAGGGTTTTACCCATTTTTGAGGAAGGAAACAAAGATCTCTCACCCATTTGTTGAAGAAGGAGACGAAGCCGTAGCCCTTGGACTTGCCCGTGGCCATGTCCTTGACCACCCGTGCATCCCTAAAGCACAAAGGGAACCTTTAAAATCTGATTTATTTGCCATCATATTCCACCTCCCTCATTGCAAATGCTCCATAGAAATTATAGAAAATAAAAATAAAAATAAAAATAAAAATAAAAATGAAAAAGCAGGAATTGAATGCATGTGCTGCCTGTTAAGTGAATTCTTTAATTCTCAGGTCAATTTGTTACCCCCATTTTTGGGCAGATGTAAATTTTGATGGGAGAGCAAAGCAGGTGGGATAAAGGGCTGTGCTGTGTGAGCAGAGCTGTCCCTGCAGTGCCACAGTGTCACTCACTGCACACAGAGCTGTCCCCACCCTGAGCTGCCCCACAAAAACACTCACGAGATTCTTCCGAAGGGAGCAAAGGCTGCTTTGATGTCCTCAGTGGTGATCTCAGGGCTCAGGTCCCCCACAAAGACGTGGAAATGGTCTTTGGGGGAAAGAGAAAGGGGGTTCAGTGGTTGAAGATGCCCTCTGAGCATCTTTCAGAGGAAAAAAAACCTCTTCTTAAAAAAACTCTTTATTAAAACTCAGCTGTTATTCAAAATTCATTATTAAAATTCAGGCACTGGTGGGGTTTAGCCACACCAGCCTGAAATTCCAAGGATTTCCCCACAGAAACTGCTGGGAGTGATGGAACCTTCTGGATGCTCCTTGAGGGAGCTGCTCAATGTGCCTCAAAACTCCAGAATGAGACATTTTGGGTTTTAATTTCCAACTGCCACAGATTTGCACCAAATCCCTTCCTGATGCTACAGGGAAATGGAAGGGAATTTAATGGAAATTTCCCTAAAAAATTCAATGGAAAACAACCAAAAAAGCCCCCAAACTCAGCTTCAGGAACACCCTGGAGATCCACAATTTGATGTTCAAGAAATCACAATTACCTTGCGAACGCTGTGTGATGGCAAAGATCAGATTTGCCCTGAAGTTTAATTAACACAAACACAATCAACAATTAGGATTCCAATGCAAACCATCCCCCACAGAGCTCTGCGTGCTGCGTTTCTGTCCCACACCTGCCTCAGGTGACACTTACTGCTGGTGTCTTTCTTCTGGCTGCTGGGGGTTGGTGGCCCAGTTCACTTTGACCTCCTGCAAATGGCAAGCACACGTCAGGTTTGGCAAATCCCAAAAAGCTCAGACACCTCCAGTGCTCAAATCTGACCCTACAGGGCAAGGCTGGGGGCAAAGTCAGGTTTAAGGTATTTTTTTAGGGAGAGAAAAAATTAATTTTCTAATTAAGTGATGTCGCAGACATTTTTTCCACAGAAATCCTTTCTTTCAGATTTCTGCATTTTCTGGGAAGCAGAGGCCCAGAGGAGAATGCAAACAATTGTTATCAGCTGCTGTGGAATGCAGTAAGATGCACCTGTGATTGGTTCATGTTCCATGTTTATAATTAAGGGCCAATCACAGGAGCAAGCTGGGAACAGAGCCCCTGGACACAACTTTGTTATGAATTCTTTCTTTCTATTCTTAGCTTAGCTAGCCTCTGCAACTTCTCTCTTTATTCTATTTAGTATAGTTATAATGTAATAAAGTTTGTTCTTGAATTAACAAGGCTAGATTAACTGCTCTGAGAGGGTTCACCTGGAGAAAGGAAAGCTCCAGGGAGAGCTTCCAGAACATTCCAGGGCCTGAAGGGGATCCAGGAGAGCTAGGGACTGGGGACAGGGGATGGAGGGACAGGACACAGGGAATGGCTTCAATGTCCCAAGGTGGTTGGTGAACAGGATGGGGACAGACTCAGATCAGCATGCCCAGTGACAGGGCAGGGACTGAAACATGGAAAGTTCTGCCTGAATATGAGGAAAAGAAGGAAAAGATGAGGGAAAAGATGAAGGAAAGCTTTCCTTGGAGGGCTGGAGCAGGCTGTGGGAGCTCCCTCTCAGCACACAGCAAAACCCTGCTGGGCTCTGCCCTTGCACTGCTCTGAATGAGCTCTGGCAGGAGATCATCTCCAGAGGGGCCTTAGAGCCCAGCCATGGAATTGTGTGATTGCGCTCCCAGCTGCACACCCCAGCTCCACCTTCCTCCCAATGCTCTGAGCTCCTCCTCCCAACACCCTGAACTTCTCCCAAAATCCTGAACTTCTCCTCCCAAAATCCTGAACTCCTCCCAACACCCTGAACTGCTCCCAGCCCCCTCAACTCCTGTTCTGAGCCCTGTCCCGCTGAGATCTCCACCCCAAAGGCAGAGTCCCACATCTGCAGTACATCCCCTCCTCTCCCAGCAACATTTCCCCCTGGCACAGCCTCTCCCAGCAGCATTGCCCCTGGCACAGCCTCTCCCAGCAGGATTTGCCCTGGCACAGCCTCTCCCAGCAGGATTTGCCCTGGCACAGCCTCTCCCAGCAGGACTGCCCCTGGCACAGCCTCTCCCACAGGATTGCCCCTGGCACAGCCTCTCCCAGCAGGATCAGCCCCTGGCACAGCCTCTCCCAGCAGGACTGCCCCTGGCACAGCCTCTCCCAGCAGGATCTGCCCCTGGGTGCCCCCAGCACCTGGCACAGCCTCTCCCGGCAGGATCAGCCCCTGGCACAGCCTCTCCCAGCAGGATTTGCCCTGGCACAGCCTCTCCCAGCAGCATTGCCCCTGGCACAGCCTCTCCCACAGGATTGCGCCTGGCACAGCCTCTCCCAGCAGCATTGCCCCTGGCACAGCCTCTCCCAGCAGGATCTGCCCCTGGGTGCCCCCAGCACCTGGCACAGCCTCTCCCACAGGATTGCCCCTGGCACAGCCTCTCCCACAGGATTGCCCCTGGCACAGCCTCTCCCAGCAGCATTGCCCCTGGCACAGCCTCTCCCAGCAGGATCTGCCCCTGGGTGCCCCCAGCACCTGGCACAGCCTCTCCCGGCAGGATCAGCCCCTGGCACAGCCTCTCCCACAGGATTGCCCCTGGCACAGCCTCTCCCGGCAGGATCAGCCCCTGGCACACACTCACCAGGGCAGGGCACCTTACCTTACCCATTATCTTCCTGCCGTTCATGGCAGCCAGCGCTGCGGCCGCGTGCCGGTGCTCGTAGAACTCCACGAAGCAGTAGGGATCATTGCCAGCTGTCTGAGACAGGACAGGGGCTGGCGTTGGGGACACTGAGTGGGGACTGGGGACACTGAGCTGGGATTGGGGTCATTGAGCTGGGATTGGGGACTCTGAGCTGGGACTGGGGGCACTGAGATGGGACTGGGGACACTGAGCTGAGATTGGGGGCACTGAGCTGAGATTGGGGACACTGAGCTGGGATTGGGGTCATTGAGCTGGGATTGGGGACTCTGAGCTGGGATTGGGGTCATTGAGCTGGGACTGGGGACACTGAGCTGAGATTGGGGACACTGAGCTGGGATTGGGGGCACTGAGCTGAGATTGGGGACACTGAGCTGGGATTGGGGACACTGAGCTGAGATTGGGGGCACTGAGCTGAGATTGGGGACACTGAGCTGGGATTGGGGACACTGAGCTGAGATTGGGGGCACTGAGCTGAGATTGGGGACACTGAGCTGGGATTGGGGACACTGAGTGGGGACTGGGGACTCTGAGTGGGGACTGGGGACCTGAGCTGGGATTGGGGACACTGAGCTGAGATTGGGGACACTGAGCTGAGATTGGGGGCACTGAGCTGGGATTGGGGACCTGGGCTGGGATTGGGGACACTGAGCTGGGATTGGGGACACTGAGCTGAGATTGGGGGCACTGAGCTGGGATTGGGGACCTGGGCTGGGATTGGGGACCTGGGCTGGGATTGGGGACACTGAGCTGGGATTGGGGACCTGGGCTGGGATTGGGGACACTGAGCTGGGACTGGGGACACTGAGCTGGGATTGGGGACATTAAAATAGAACTAGAGACACTGACCCAGGATTAGAGACTCAAACCCAGGATTAGAGACACAAATCCAAGATTAGGGACACTGACCCAGGATTAGGGACACTGACCCAGGATAAAGACACAAACCCAGGATTAGGGACTCAAACCCAGGATTAGGGACTCAAACTCAGGATTAGGACATAAACCCAGGATTAGGGACACAAAGCCAGGCTCTGGCTGCTCTGCTCAGCCCCTGACTGCTGACACCTCACCAGCCCCACCTGGACAGGTTTTCTGACCCTACAGGGACTAACAACGCTCTCAGAGCTTTCAATTCTACTTTAGAAAGGTAAAATGACGGCAGAGACCTTTTCAAACCTCATTTGCAATCCCCTCCTGAGTTAATGAGGGGATTCACTGTCCCTCTCCATGCCCACCCATCCCTACATTCCCCACCAGGCACGCACAGAAACGATGCCAAGCCATGCCCAGGTTGATTCCAGGTGCTGTTCGCGTTTCCAGGGGAGTTCCCTGAGCACAGGCACAGCCTGGGGCAGCACCCTGAGGGCAGCAGGGGCATCAGAGCATTGGGGCTCTTACATCCATGATCATCTTGCAGTTCTTGCAGGGCCCGATCTGGCTGAAGAGCTGCAGGATCAGAGCCTCGGTCACGTCCCTGGAGAGGTTCCCCACGTAGCTGAGGGACAAACACAGAGAGGAACAGGGATGGAGACATGCTGGAGCCTGGAGAGGGGCTGGGGAGCAGGGGTGGAGTGATGGCAAAAGGGGGGATGGCCTCCCACTGCTGAGGGCTGGCTGAGGTGGGACACTGGGATGGAACTCCCAGAGGAGAATCCCTGGGAATGTCCAAGGCCAGGCTGGACAGGGCTCAGAGCAGCCTGGGACAGTGGGAGGTGACCCTGCCATGGCAGGGGGTGGCACTGGGCAGGTTCATGTCCCTTCCCACCCAAACCAATCCAAGATTCCATGGCTCCATGAAGCTGACCTTCCCTACACTGAATTCCCAGTACTGAATTCCAGTTCCCATATCCCCACACTGAATTCCCAGTTCCCATATCCCTACTACGATTTCCCAGTACACAATTCCAGTTCCCATATCCCTACACTGATTTCCCAGTACAGAATTCCAATTCCCACACCCCTACACTGAATTCCCAGAACAGAATTCCAGTTCCCATATCCCCACGCTGATTTCCCAGTTCCCACATCCCTACATTGAATTCCCAGAACAGAAACTCCAGTTCCCACATCCCTACACCAACTGATTTCCCAGTATATAAATTCCAGTTCCCATATCCCTACACTGAATTCCCAGTTCCCATATCCCTACATGGAATTCCCAGAACAGAATTCCAATTCCCATATCCCCACACTCATTTCCCAGTTCCCATATCCCTACACTGAATTCCCAGGACATAATGTCAATTCCCATATCCCTACTATGATTTCCCAGTACAGAAACTCCAATTCCCATACTCCTACATTGATTTCCCAGTCCCCATATCCCTACACTGAATTCCCAGTACAGAATGCCAATTCCCACACCCCTACCCTGATTTCCCAGTACAGAATTCCAGTTCCCATATCCCTACACCAACTGATTTCCCAGTATATAAATTCCAGTTCCCTTATTCCTACACTGAATTCCCAGTATAGACTCCAGTTCCCATATCCCTACAGTGATTTCCCAGTACAGAATTCCAATTCCCACACCCCTACACTGATTTCCCAGTACAGAAACTCCAGTTCCCATATCCCTACATTGATTTCCCAGTTCCCATATCCCTACATGGAATTCCCAGTACAGAATGGGAATTCCAGAATTCCAATTCCCACACCCCTACCCTGATTTCCCAGTACAGAAACCCCAATTCCCACATCCCTACATTGATTTCCCAGTACACAATTCCAGTTCCCATATCCCTACACTGAATTCCCAGTAGAGAAATTCCAATTCCCACACCCCTACCTTGATTTCCCAGTTCCCATATCCCTACATGGAATTCCCAGAACAGAAACTCCAATTCCCACATCCCTACATTGATTTCCCAGTATAGAATGTCAATTCCCACACCCCTACCCTGATTTCCCAGTACAGAATTCCAGTTCCCATATCCCTACAGTGATTTCCCAGTACAGACTCCAGTTCCCATATCCCTACATTGATTTCCCAGTACACAATTCCAGTTCCCATATCCCTACACTGAATTCCCAGTACAGAATTCCAATTCCCACACCCCTACCCTGATTTCCCAGTACAGAAACTCCAGTTCCCAAATCCCCACAGTGATTTCCCAGTACAGAATTCCAATTCCCCTATCCCTACTATGATTTCCCAGTACAGAATTCCAGTTCCCACATCCCTTCATTGATTTCCCAGTACAGAATTCCAATTCCCCTATCCTTACCCTGATTTCCCAGTACAGACTCCAGTTCCCATATCCCTACCCTGATTTTCCAGTACAGAAGTTCCAGCTCCCCTATCCCTACCCCACCATCCCTGCCCCAGCAGCTCAGGCTGCATTTTGCCCACGTTTCCCACAACATTTGGATGGTTCCTCACAAAGCCCTGAGGTTCTGGAAGCCCCAGATGTGCCTGGAACGTGCTGGAGCGCAGGGCTCAGCCTCCCCCCACAGCCACAGCCCAAACCCCCACTCCCACCTGGGGCTGCGGCTCCCTCACCCACCAAGGCCATGGGGTGGCTGTTTTGTTGTTTTGTTGGTGTTGTTGTGCCCAAATCACGGGATTTTTATAAAAAGCCCAGTGAGAAACCTCAGCCCTCGAGGTGCAGCCACAGCTCCTGCACAGGAATGTCCTGTGGGGAAAACCTCAGCCCGGGAATCGTGGCCAAATGCCAGCCCTGGAACCAGCCTGGGGCAGCTGCAGTGCCCCCAGAGGGGCACAAAAACAACCAGCAGCACATCCAGGATCTGTTTGTGCTCCAAGCTTTGCTTATGGGGGAAGGAGACACAGTTCTGACAGGAATGGCTCATCCAGGAGCTCTGTGCTAATTATTAAAGCAACTTTTAGGCAGGAGAAAGGATTGGGTTTTAAAAACCCTTTCCAGGCTTTGTTTCCTCAGAATGGTGAAACAAGGAGGGATCAGAGCACCTCATTAAGGCAATTAAATGAACAGCAGGGCATTCTCCCCCCAGCATGTCCAGCTGAGAGGGGGCTCAGAGAGGCTGAACACCCAACCTGAGCTGCACTTTCTGCCCCTTCCCAACCCGACCTGGTGACAATTCCCTGTATGACCCCAGAGAGCCACGGGGAGGGAGTGACAGAAATCCCAGCCTGGATCTGCTGAGCCCTGAGCTGTTTCAAGGCAGCACTCGGCGATCCTGCAGCTCTTTTGTGGTGTTCTGTGTGTGCCAGCAGCTGCACGTGCTCCAGGACAGGGACCTGCATTCCTTGGCACACATGGAGGCCACCACAGGAGGCCTGGGATGGGGGAAACACCTTCCCAAACAAACACACCAACACTGTGTGTGCAGAGGCAGGCACAGCTCCCAAAATGTGGGAAAACAGCGGGATTGGGGAAGCAGGGAGTGCTCAGGACAGCTGGGGTGAGGCACGTCGGGGTCCTGCTGTCCTGTGGCACAACAATCCCTCAGCTTGCAATGATTCCCTCCTTCCCTCCCTGCCACACTGCTGAACAAGGCTTCTGGGGGTGGGATGGCAAGAGTGGGGCCTGATTCCCCTGATCCAAACAAGGGAAAGCTGCTCCAGTAACACCTGCCTGGGACAAGGAGGGGAACAGCCCAGGTGTGCACAGCAGTCGGGTGCTGCAGCACCTTTTGCTAAAATCCAACCTACACCTCCCCTGGAGTGGCTTCTTAATTCCTAATTCACTCTGTGGGAAGCAACAGGTTCAGAGAGTGCTTTGAACGGTGGGACAAGCCGTGGATTCATGGGCAGTGCCTGGTCATTCCTATGGAGCTGCTGAGCAGGCCAGGGGCCTCCAGCTGTGTGCCAAGGCCAAAATCCAGCCAGGCACTCACAAAACCCTTCATGGATCATCCAGAGGGACAGGATCCTCACCAGGAATGGTTTGGGGTGGAAGGGACTCGGATCATCCCAGGGGCTGGGATGGACAGGGGCACACACACCTTAGAGCCCCTTCCCTCCAGATGTGTGCAGATGTACCAGGGAGGGGACACCTTCCACACTGCCTTCCCTCCAGATGTGACCTGGGATAGACCGCGGAGAGTGGCACACACTTTCCAGACCCCCTTTCTATCCAGGAGAAGAGGGACACACCTTCCTGGTCACTTTTCCCTCCAGATGTGACTTGGGATAGATTGCAGAGAGTGGCACACGCTTTCCAGACCCCCTTTCTATCCAACAGAAGGGGGACACACCTTCCTGGCCGCTTTTCCCTCCGGGTGTGACCGGGCATGGACTGGCAAGGGGCACACACCTTGCAGACCCCTTTTCTCTCCAGATGTGAGTTGGGACGTACAGGGGAAGGGACACACAGCTTCCACACAGCCCTGGCCCTCCAGGTGCGAGCTGGAGGCCCAGGGGAACGCCCGGAGCGGAGGGCAGGCCGGCGGTGCCCAGCACTGCGCCGGGGAAAGGGCAGCACTACCGCGGGAGCCGGGCTCCGTCGCTGCCGGAGGGGGCCGGCTGCCCCTCAGCCCCGCAGCACTGCGGGCGGCCGAGGCTCCGCGGCGGAGCCCTGAGGGGCCCCGTCCGTGAGGCGACCCCGGGCCGCCCCTCCCCGCGGAGCCGGGAACAATAGGCGGTCTCGCCCCCTCCCCACTCACAGGGTCTTGGGCATTTCATCCTCCATGGCGCCGCCGCCGCCCGCCCCGGCTCTTCCCGCCCGCCGGGGCGGCCCCGTGAGCCCTGGGCAGCCCGGGCAGCCCGAGCGGCGCCGGCCCCGCCGGCGGACGGTCCCGCGGCGGCTCCTCGCAAGATGGCGGCGGGCGGGCGGGCTGAGGGGCCGGGGGGGGGCGGGGGCGGGAACGCGCGTGCGCGGGGAGAGCGCGGGAACGGCGCGGGGACGCGAGGCCGCTCCGCGCATGCGCGGCCGCTCGGGGAAGGCGAAAAAAAGTGGTGAAAAGTGATTTAAAATAAAGGCGTTAAAAGTAAAAGGGGTGAGAAATGAAGGGATTTAAAAGGCGTTAAAAATAAAAGGGTGAGAAATGAAGAGATTTAAAAGGCGTTTAAAAATAGGGGTGAGAAATGAAATTATTTAAAAGAATCGGCTTAAAAATAAAAGTGTTCAAAGAAAACCGCTTAAAAGCGGGGTGAAAAGGTGCTGGCGGGCATCAGAGCAGGGAAATGGCACTAAAGGTATGAAAATAAAAGTGTTGAAAGAAAGGAATTGAAAATTAAAGAAGTAAAAAGAAAATAATTAGAAGGGGTTAAAACCGCGGTGGAAAGGGATATGCAGGTCAGGGACATGGAGGAATGGGGACAGCAGGGCTGGGAAATAAAAATAAAGGGAGTTAAAGGAATAAAAAGTAAACGAGCTAAAGGAGTTAATATAGAGGTATTTAAAATTAAGTTTTAAATTACAGGATTAAAAATGGAAGAATTGAAAGTGAAAGGGGACACATGGGCATGGGGAACGGGGCACCGGGATGGTGAAATAAAGTTTATAGGGACTAAAATAAAGATTACCAAAATAAAGATCACTAAAATAAAGTAATTAAAATAAATTCGTTCAAATGTAATAATCAGAGGGATTATAAATGGAGAATTTAAAAATTAAAGTATCAAAAATGAAGGGTTTAAAAGCGGGATGAAAAGGTTCATGTGGGGACCAGCAACAGAGGCCTTGGGGGGAGGAATAAAAATAAAGGAGTTAAAATAAAGGCGTTTGAAAGAAAAGATTTTAAAGGAAAGGAATTTAAAACCAAGGTGTTAAAAATAAAGTAATTAAAGTAAAGGGATTAAAAATAAAGAGATTAAAAGCTGGGTGAGAACGTATTTGTGGGCACCAAGAAAAGGGGCGCCTTCTAGAGGGGCGAGGAAATAAAAATAAAGGAATTAAACTAAAGTAATTTAAAGTAAAGGAAGTAAAAGAAAAAACTTTGGAATTCAGGATAAAAGAATTCGAAGAAAAGTAAAAGGGATGTGCGCCGCCCGGGAATCGAACCCGGGTCGCAAGAATGGGAATCTTGCATGATACCACTACACCAGCGGCGCGGTTGGGGAACACCGCCTCTCAGTGTCCTTCATGATCCCGCTGTCCGCAGCCGGCCCGAACTGCACTTCCAGCCCGCCCATCGCCCTCTGCCCTTCCCCGCCGCCATGCCGGGCCTCCGCCGCTTCCTGACGCTGCTGCTCGCCTCTCTCTGCCCGCTCGCCCTCACCCTCCGCCATGGGCCCTCCAAGATCGGTGCGAACGCGGCCTCAGCGGAGGCGGTTGTGTGATGGAGGGCGGCTGGCAGGGACGGGGACCCGGGGAGGGATCCGTGAGGGGAAAGCTCAGGGGGAGCTCTGAAGGAGTTCTGTCACAGGCGGTGTCCCTTCAAGGGATGAGGGCATCTGTGACGAGCAGGGGGTGCCCCTGGGATCCTTTGAGGGGATCTGTGAGGAAGGAGTGAGCAGAGGATGCTTTATGGGACTTTGAGGGGATCTATCATGGGAGGACGCTGAGGGGACCTATGTGAGTCAGGGAGTATGGCGGCGTGTGCCGTGAGGGATCTTAAGTGCAAGGACCCATGAGGGATCTGTGAGGGTCAGGGAGGCTGGGAGGGAGTCTGTGAAGAAGGTGCAAGACGGGACCCCCTGAAGGTAAGGGGCGCCTGTGAGGGGATCTTTGAGGGACAGGGGATATGACAGGGGTTTCCTTGAGGGGATTGGGGTGGGGAGGCCATGAGGAGTCTGTGAGGCGCTCCCTTGAGAGGAAAGGACAGATCCTTGAGAGGATCTGTCGTGCACAGGCCCATGAGGGGTCTGTGAGGGGGCTGTGTGAGGTGGGGGTTCCTGGGGCTGTGAGTGTGACCGTGCCCCCTTCTCGCAGCCGTGGTGGGCGGCGGGATCGGCGGCTCGGCCGCCGCGTATTTCCTGCGGCAGAAGTTCGGCCGCAGCGTGCAGCTGCACGTGCTGGAGAAGGCAGCGCTGGGCGGCCGGCTGGACACGCTGGACGTGGAGGGGGCCAGCTACGAGGCAGGGGGGTCCGTGATCCACCCCCTCAACCTGCACATGAAGCATTTTGTCCAGGAGCTGGGTGAGTATTGGCCCCCAGTGCCAAAATTGTGTCTTGATAGGAAAATTATCCCCCCGGGGTGCTCTGGGTCCTAATCTGCTGGGGGAACATCCCCTTGGTAGCCCATTATCCGTCCCCAGTAGCCCTCATTTCCTTCTCAAGTACCCCCCCAATAGCCTGCCTTCTTTTCCCAATATTCCCCCCATATAGTTCCCTCGTGATCACCTTTCTCCAATATCCCTCCCTCACAGGCTATTTTCTTCCCCAACAGCCCCCCATCACCTCCACCATGCCCCCTGTGGTACCCCAGCCCCACTGCAGGTAAAGTAAACACAGTGGGAACGGTTTCACCCCTGTCCACAGGTGACCCCCTTATGGCATCATAAAGATCCAAAAATCACCTCCAATCACTCCCTGGCCCGTGATCAAGGGCTAATTCCCCTTTCCACACTGTGGCACTCTAATCTTCAATCACTCACCATTATCAGGACAAAGCCAGGTTATCTGAGGAAATTAAATCTGAGGTAGAATAGCGCTGCCTTTCCCTAAATTACCTTTTCTGTCCTTTTCCCAAAGGCCTCTCGGTCGCTACACCCCAGGGCAGCCTCGCAGGCATTTACAACGGGGAGGAATTTGTGTTTGAGGAGAGCAGCTGGTCCTTCATCAACCTCCTCAAGCTGCTGTGGCACTACGGCCTCAACCCCCTGCGCATGTCCATGTGGGTGGAGGACATCCTGGACAAGTTCATGAGGTGGGCTGGGGTCCTGAGGGGGAAAAAGTGGCAAAGGACCTTAAGGACACCTCATGCCATGGGACACCTTGCTCTGTCCCTGGTGGCTCCAAGCTCCGTCCTTAGACACTTCCAGGGATGGTGCAGCTGCTCCACCCTCCTAAAAATCCCCAGTCTGGAACCTGAACCTGCTCTCTTGAGCCTCCTTGTCCTGCAGCCCCACAGAGCCACCCCGTGGGCTCCCCGCGGGTCCCAGGGCCAGAGCTCACTGCCGGGACAATCCCTGTGTGCACTGACAGGATCTACCGGTACCAGATGCACGACTACGCCTTCAGCAGCAACGAGCGCCTGCTGCACGCCCTGGGCGGCGACGACTTCGCGCGGCTGCTGAACCAGAGCATCGACGAGGCCATGCAGAAAGCAGGCTTCTCCCAGAAATTCATCAACCAGGTGGTGTGTCCGGCCATGAGGGTGAATTACGGCCAAGGGGTCACCATCCCTGGCTTTGTGGGTGAGTGTTTGAGGGAGCCGCCCGTCCTGGGTGTGGAGAATGGATTGGAAGAGAACAGAGATGGTTCTGTGGGCAGCCTTGACCTTGATGAGCTGGCAGCTGTACTAATTACCAAAGAATGGAAGCAGCCTTGACCTGTCCAGTAAGGATGTGTGGTATAGAAGAGTGGGTTGGGCAGCGGTGAGGAAGAGGAAGAAAGAAGAGAGAAGAAGAGATGAGTCAGTGTTGCGTGGTGCTGCCCACTTACAGAGAAAAGATGGAAGTTTACTCTAAAGGATAATGAAGGGCTGATGCTGGCCGCCATCTTAGGTGTCAGTCATTCGAGTCCACCAGCAATGGGGAAAGGTTTGGAAGTCTTTTTGAAGGATAATAAAGGGCTGATGCTTGCAATGGGTAAAGTCATCTGGGTCCAACAACAATTGCTGCCCCATGGGAGGAGTGAACACTGACAAAAGTGAACACTGATCCTGGATGTTGGGTTCCTGCTCCCTGGCTCCAAGCTCTGTGTCCCAAAGGGATGTTAATCCCCCCTGATTTTGCAGTTTGTTTTTCCAGTGTTTCCCTGCTTTGACAGAGGTGGTTTCCTTGCAGGTGCTGTGTCCCTGGCCGGAGTGCAGTCGGGCCTTTGGTCTGTGAAAGGGGGGAATAAACTCGTGTGCTCCGGCCTCATCTACTCCTCCAAGGCCGAGGTTATCCCGGGAACTGTCGTGTCCATAGAGCCAAAAACCAGACACCAGCGTGGTGGTGAGTGGGGCTGGTGACACTGGAGAACAACCTCAGCCCCTTGGAGTTTCTAAATGAAAATTCCTCCCTGGGAGGCTGGGGAGGGGCTGGGATGGGATTCCCAGAGGAGCTGTGGCTGTCCCTGCATCCCTGGAGTGTCCAAGGCCAGGCTGGATGGGTTTTAGGATCCCTTCCAGCCCAACCCATTCCATGAAAACAGGGCTCCAAACCCAGCTGCACTAATGGATAAACCCAAATTTTGGAATGCCAGGGCCAGCAGGGTCAGGATAACCGAGCTGCTCTCCACAGGGGACACGGTGAAGCTCTACGAGGTCACCTACAACACGTCCTCGGGGCTCACAGGGGACACCTACGACATCGTGCTCATCGCGGCGCCGCTGGGCCGCAAGATGGCCGACATCACCTTCCGCAACTTCGACCCTCCCATCCCGGAATTCCCCAATCCCTACCACCAGACCATCACCACCCTGGTGCACGGGCGCTTGAACACCTCCTTCTTCGGCTACCAGGACCCCCAGGCCTTTCCCTTTGGGGCCATTTTCACCACGGACAATCCCAAACTGTTCTTCAACAGCCTGGGTGTGGTGTCCGCCGTGGGTGACACGGGCACGGGCGAGAAGCCGCCGCTGCCCTCGGCCGTCTGGAAGGTGTTTTCCAACGAGGAGCTCAGCAAGGAGCAGCTCAATCTGCTCTTCTCCTCCTACGACTCGGTGAAGGTGAAGCCGTGGCTGGCGTATCCCCAGTACAGCGCTCCCGAGAGGTTTCCCCCCATCGTGCTGCACGAGCAGCTCTACTACCTGAACGGGCTGGAGCGCGCCGCCAGCGCCATGGAGATGAGCGCCATCGCCGCCCGCAACGCCGCCCTGCTCGCCTTCCACCGCTGGCACGGCCACGGCGCCAGCGTCGACCAGGAGGACCTGCACGAGAGGCTCAAAACGGAGCTCTGACACGCCCCCGGGGCTTAATTAGCGCTAATGAACTATGAGCTGCGCCCCTCCTACGAGGTGTTTCGTAGGATCACAGGATTCCTATATTTGGAAGGTCTTCAAGATCATCAAGACCTTCAAGATGCCGTAATTAACTCTAATGAACTCCATACTTTGTCTCTCCAAGGAGGTGTTTCATGGGATCATGGGATCCTAGAATTTGGGAAGAGCTTCAAGACCATCAAGATACCATCAGTAACTCTAATGAACTCCATGCTTCGCCCCTCCAAGGAGGTGTTTCGTAGGATCACGGGATCCTTAAGACTGGAAGATCTTCAAGACCATCAAGACCTTCAAGATACCATCAGTAACTCTAATGAACTCCATGCTTCGCCCCTCCAAGGAGGTGTTTCGTAGGATCAAGGGATCCTTAAGACTGGAAGACCTTCAAGATGTTCAAAAACGTCAAGACCTTCAAGATGCTGTAATGAACTCTAATGAACTCCATACTTTGCTCCTCCAAGGAGGAGTTTCATAGGATCCGGGGATGCTTAAGGTTGGATGAGTTTCAAGAAGATCAAGACCTTCAGGATCATCAAAACCTTCAAGACCTTCTAGACCCTCAAGACCCTCAAGTCCAACCATCAACCCAACTGCGTTCACCGTTAACGATTTCCTCAAGTGCCGCGTCCATGTGTTTTTTGGAAACTTTCAGGGATTCTGACTCTGCCACAGCCTAGGCTGGACAAGCCTTCCTTCCATGACAAAATTCCTCCCAATATCTCATCTTGATGTCCCCTGATGCCACCTGGAAGCTGTGTGGCCAGCTCTGGAGGGAACAGGAGCAGTGAAGCGTTCCCAAGTAAGCCAGAACAACTTTTCCTGCCAAAGAAAAATTCCTCAGGGAGAAGATGGGCTGCTGGGAGCTGCCAAAATGGGTGGGAAAGAGGAAAAACCACCAGTGTCCATTGCTGTGTTCAGGTATGAAAGAGTTAATAAAGAATTGTTAAGTGTCCATGTTTTGAAAGAGAAAACCACCAAAAATAGCACAAATTTAACACCCACTCCCATAAATGAAAAGGTTTTCCATGAGTTTTCCCAGGGTTAGGAGCAGAATTAACACCCAGCTGCCAAAAATTGATGTGACAAAGGCTTGAGTTAGGTCAACCATTACAAAACTGATTTAATAACAAAACCAAAATAATTGTTCACGCGTGGGCGGCATCGTGGACAAGGGAATGGAAGTGGTGGTGGGGATTTGGGGTTCTCCAGGGGTTTATACCCGTTCCAAAGCTTCCAGCATGATGATGCTGTTCCCTCGGATCACCTGAAACGGGGAAGGTGAGAGAGGTTACCTCTGATCGAAGGTAACAGCTTGTTTCAGTTTGTTTCCCCAAAAATCCCTGAAAATTTGGCTGCAATTCCCCCATGAGGATGAAAACAGATGGATTTTCCATTCCTGTTCCTCACCAAACCTCCTGCTCATTCCACACACAGCTCCACCAGTGCTCCCAGTGCCCTCAGCACCCTGCTTCCAGTGCTCCCAGTGCCCCCATCACCCTGCTCCCAGTGCTCCCAGTGCCCTCAGCACCCTGCTCCCAGTGGTTCCAGTGCCCTCCCAACCCCATTCCCAGTGCCCCCAGTGCCCTCACCACCATGCCGATGTTGTTCTGCTGCCCGCCTGCCGCCATCTCCACGCACTCGTCGATCACCAGGTTCATGAAGGGGTCGAAGCCCCGCAGGATGCCCTGCACGTGCCGGCCGCCGTTCAGCTTCACTGCGGGAATGCAGGGGTTAAAGGGGGAACAGTTCCCAAAACGGGACCGTTTGGCCCCAAATCTGCAGCTTGGAATGAGCGGGACCCGAAGGGGGTGAATGGGAAGGAAGGACTGAGCACAACCCATAATGAGACAAGGGGAAAAGAATGAATTTTCAACTCATCTTATAGTTAAATTAATGAATTACGGCTTAATGAACGAATTAGAATTTTAATTAACGAGCTACAAGGCATGAAATCAATCAGGGATGTTGCAGGGGGCAGACCAGAGCATCAGCCCCAGCAGCCGGGACCCCCTCCCTGGGCTCTGTGAGGGTCCCCAAAACCGGGCCCTGCTGGGGGGCGGGCGGGGATCCCCGGGCACCGTGAGGGGATCAGGGCGGGCCGGGGGTCCCGGGGCAGAGGATCGGGGTGGGATCAGTTCCACAACTCACACGACAGCTTCTTGTCCATGAACCTGCAACGAGAAGGTAGCGGGTGAGCACCGGCGGCTGGGGACGGGGCGGGAGACCCCCGCCATTATCCCCTCACGAACCGCCCCCTCCCGCCGCCATTGCAGCGGGGCACCGGCAAGCGGCGGTGCACGCCGTTCCGGTGCCCGCTTCCCCCACACCGTGCCCGCCTCCCCTCGCCCCCCGGTGCAGCCCCGGCCCCTCCGGACGCACTTTTTCAGCTCGGGCGGGTGCGCTTTGCTCATGGCGCCCGCAGCCCCCGGCCCGTCTCTGCCGCGCTGCCGCGCTCTGACGTCACCGCGCCGTGCGTCCCCTAGCGCCAGCCAATGGCGGCGCGCGGCGCGCTACCGCACTCACCCGAGTAGCGGCGCAGCCAGGGGAAGGAAGCGGGGCGCAAAGGGGGGGAAGTAGCGGGCGGTGAGGGGAGTGCGCGGCTACACGGGGAGGTACGGCGGCATGGCCCACACCGTGTGCGGTGCGTGTGTGCGCATGTTTTGTGTGTCTGCCTGTGTACATGTGTGTCCACATGTGCACACGTGTGTGTCTGATGTGTTCACATGTGCGCAGGGTCTTGGGCATTTCATCCTCCATGGCGGCGTCGCCGCCCTCCCCGGCTGTTCCCGCCCGCCGGGGCGGCCCCGTGAGCCCTGGGCAGCCCGAGCGACGCCGGCTCCTCGCAAGATGGCGGCGAGCGGGCGGGCGGGCTGAGGGGCCGGGAAAATTAAAGTAATGAAGTTAAACTGAAGTAATTAAAGGGAAATGAAGTAAAAGAAAGGACTTTCGAATTCAGGATAAAAGGACGGATTTCGTAATTCAGGATAACAGTTCAGAGGGACACAAAAGTTCCGTGCGCCCCCGGCCCGCCCATCGCCCTCTGCCCGCCCATCGCCCTCTGCCCTTCCCCGCCGCCATGCCGGGCCTCGGCCGTCTCCTGCCGCTGCTCCTGCTCGCCGGGCTCTGCCCGCCCGCCCTCAGCCTCCGCCATGGGCCCTCCAAGATCGGTGCGAACGGGGACATAGCGGGCGATGGCCGCGGGCTGAGGGGAGGCGGTTGTGTCAGAGACGGGGACCCGGAGAGGGATCTGAGGGGAAAGCTCAGGGGAGATCTCTTAAGGAGATCCGTCAGAGGCGGTGTGAGGCCGTGTCCCTTGAAGGGATGAGGAGATCTCATGAGGAGCAGGGGGTGCCACTGGGATCCTTTGGGAGGATCCGTGAGGATAAGGGAGAATTCTTTAAAGGACACTAAAGGGATCTGTCATGGGAGGCCCCTGAGGGGACCTATGTGGGTCAGGGAGTAATGGGGCATGGGGGTGTCCCTTGAGGGATCTGAAGTGGGGGGAACAGTGAGGGATCTGTGAGGGTCAGGGGAGTGTGAAGAGAGGATCCTTTGAGGGGATCTGTGAGGAAGGTGCAATGGGGGACCCCTTAAGGTCCTTGAAGGTCAAGGGGGGCCTTGTGAGGGGGACATGGGAAATTAGGGGGCTCCTTTGAGGGGATTGGGGTGGCGGGGCCATGAGGGGTGTGTGAGAGAATTCCCCAGAGGGGATCTGTCATGCAGGGGTCTGTGAGGGATCAGTGAGGGGGTTGCCATGACGGGATCTGTCGTGCACAGGCCCATGAGGGGTCTGTGAGGGGGCTGTGTGAGGTGGGGGTTCCTGGGGCTGTGAGTGTGACCGTGCCCCCTTCTCGCAGCCGTGGTGGGCGGCGGGATTGGCGGCTCGGCCGCCGCGTATTTCCTGCGGCAGAAGTTCGGCCGCAGCGTGCAGCTGCACGTGCTGGAGAAGGCAGCGCTGGGCGGCCGGCTGGACACGCTGGACGTGGAGGGGGCCAGCTACGAGGCAGGGGGGTCCGTGATCCACCCCCTCAACCTGCACATGAAGCATTTTGTCCAGGAGCTGGGTGAGCATGGACACTCCACCTTGGTGTTTCCCAGTCCCAAAATTGTCCCTCAGACGCAAAATGGTCCCCCTGGGGTGCTCTGGGTCCTAATCTGCTGGGGAACATCCCCTTGGTAGCCCATTATCCATCCCCAGTAGCCCTCATATAATTCCCCAGCAGCGCCCCATATCCTTCCCGAATAGCCCTCCCTTCTTTTCCCAATATAACCCCCATATCCTTCCCCAACAGTTCCAATCCTTTTCCCAATATTCCCCCATATAGTTCCATAGTAAGCACCTTTGTCCTGTATCTGTCACTCACAGGCCACTTTCCTTCCCGAATAGCCCACCATCACCTCCCCCATGCCCCACTACAGGCAAAGGAAATCCACATCCCAAAGAGAATGGTCTGGCCCCTCCACACAGGTGACCCATGAATTGCATCATACAGGTCCAAAAACCACCTCCAATCATTCCCTGGCCCGTGATCAAGGGCTAATTCCCCTTTCCACTCTTTGGCACTCTAATCTTCAATCACTCACCATTATCAGGACAAAGCCAGGTTATCTGAGGAAATTAAATCTGAGGTAGAATAGTGCTGCCTTTCCCTAAATTACCTTTTTTGTCCTTTTCCCAAAGGCCTTTCAGCCAACACACTCCAGGGCAGCCCCTCAGGCGTTTACAATGGGGAGGAATTTGTGTTTGAGGAGAGCAGCTGGTCCTTCATCAACCGCCCCAAGCTGCTGTGGCACTACGGCCTCAACCCCCTGCGCATGTCCATGTGGGTGGAGGACATCCTGGACAAGTTCATGAGGTGGGCTGGGGTCCTGAGGGGGAAAAAGTGGCAAAGGACCTTAAGGACACCTTGCTCTGTCCCTGGTGGCTCCAAGCTCCGTCCTTGGGCACTTCCAGGGATGGTGCAGCTGCTCCACCCTCCTAAAAATCCCCAGTCTGGAACCTGAACCTGCCCTCTTGAGCCTCCTTGTCCTGCAGCCCCACAGAGCCACCCCGTGGGCTCCCCGCGGGTCCCAGGGCCAGAGCTCACTGCCGGGACAATCCCTGTGTGCACTGACAGGATCTACCGGTACCAGATGCACGACTACGCCTTCAGCAGCAACGAGCGCCTGCTGCACGCCCTGGGCGGCGACGACTTCGCGCGGCTGCTGAACCAGAGCATCGACGAGGCCATGCAGAAAGCAGGCTTCTCCCAGAAATTCATCAACCAGGTGGTGTGTCCCATCATGAGATTCGCTTATGGCCAAGGGGTCACCGTCAACGGCTTTGTAGGTGAGTGTGTGGAGGAGCCGCCCATCCTGGGTGTTGGGTTCCTGCTCTCTGGCTCCCTGCTCTGTGTCCCAAAGGGATGTTAACCCCCCCTGATTTTGCAGTTTGTTTTTCCAGTGGTTCCCTGCTTTGACAGAGGTGGTTTCCTTGCAGGTGTTCTCCTTGCAGGCTGGTTGGAGTCGGGCCTTTGGTCTGTGAAAGGGGGGAACAAACTCGTGTGCTCCGGCCTCATCTACTCCTCTAAGGCCGAGGTTATCCCGGGAACTGTCGTGTCCATAGAGCCAAAAACCAGACACCAGCGTGGTGGTGAGTGGGGCTGGAGTTCCCTTCAGTGGGGAGGGGATGGTGACACTGGAGAGTATCCAAGGCCCCTTGGAGTCTTTCAAAATGAAAATTCCTCCCTGGGAGGCTGAGGCGGGGCTGGGATGGGATTCCCAGAGGAGCTGTGGCTGTCCCTGGATCCCTGGAGTGTCCAAGGCCAGGCTGGATGAGGCTTGGAGCAAGCTGGGATAGAGGAAGGTGTCCCTGCCGTGGAACTGGATGGACTTTAGGATCCCTTCCAGCCCAACCCATTCCATGAAAACAGGGCTCCAAACCCAGCTGCACTAATGGATGAACCCAAATGTTGGTGGCATTGTGGGATCCCAGCACAGGTCAGGATAACCGAGCTGCTCTCCACAGGGGACACGGTGAAGCTCTACGAGGTCACCTACAACACGTCCTCAGGGCTCACAGGGGACACCTACGACATCGTGCTCATCGCGGCGCCGCTGGGCCGCAAGATGGCCGACATCACCTTCCGCAACTTCGACCCTCCCATCCCGGAATTCCCCAGTCCCTATCAGCAGATCTTCACCACCCTGGTGCACGGGCGCTTGAACACCTCCTTCTTCGGCTACCAGGACCCCCAGGCCTTTCCCTTTGGGGCCATTTTCACCACGGACAATCCCAAACTGTTCTTCAACAGCGTGAACCTGGAGCCCCCCGTGGGTGACACGGGCACGGGCGAGAAGCTGCCGCTGCCCTCGGCCGTCTGGAAGGTGTTTTCCAACGAGGAGCTCAGCAAGGAGCAGCTCAATCTGCTCTTCTCCTCCTACGACTCGGTGAAGGTGAAGCCGTGGCTGGCGTATCCCCAGTACAGCGCTCCCGAGAGGTTTCCCCCCATCGTGCTGCACGAGCAGCTCTACTACCTGAACGGGCTGGAGCGCGCCGCCAGCGCCATGGAGATGAGCGCCATCGCCGCCCGCAACGCCGCCCTGCTCGCCTTCCACCGCTGGCACGGCCACGGCGCCAGCGTCGACCAGGAGGACCTGCACGAGAGGCTCAAAACGGAGCTCTGACACGCCCCCGGGGCTTAATTAGCGCTAATGAACTATGAGCTGCGCCCCTCCTACGAGGTGTTCCGTAGGATCACAGGATTCCGACAGTTGGAAGGTCTTCAAGATCATCATGATCTTCAACATCTTCACGAACATCAAGACCTTCAAGATGCCGTAAGTAACACTAACCAACTCTATAGTTTTCCCCTCCAAGGAGGTGTTTCATAGGATCATGGGATCCTTATGATTGGAGGGTTGAGGATCATCATGATCTTCAAGATCTTCAAGAACATCAAGACCTTTGAGACCATCAAGATGCCGTAGTTAACTCTAATGAACTTCATACTTCATCCCTCCAAGGACGTGTTTCATACGATCACTGGATCCTTATGACTGGAGGGTCTTCAAGTACATCATGACCTTCAAGATCTTCAAGAACATCAAGACCTTCAAGATGCCGTAATTAACACTAATGAACTCCATATTTTGCCCCTCCAAGGAGATGTTTCTTATGATCACGGCATTCCTACGGCTGGAAGGTCTTCAAGATCATCGTGACCTTCAAGAACATTAAGACCTTCAAGATGCCATAATTAACACTAATGAACTCAGTGCTTCACCCCTCCTAGGAGGTGTTTCATTGGATCAGGGGATCCTTAAGGTCGGACGAGTTTCAAGAACTTCAAGACCATCAAGAACATCAAAACTTTGAAGATCTTCAGGATCTCCAAGATCATCAAAACTTTCAAGGCCATTAGGATCTTCAAGACCCTCAAGAACCTTCACGACCATCAAGAGTCTCGAAGCTGTTAGGACCCTCAAGTCCAGCCATCAGCCCAACCGCGTTCACCATTAGCGATCTCCTCAAGTGCCGCGTCCGTGCGTTGTTTGGACACTTCCAAGGGCTGATCACTCTGCCACAGCCTCAGCTGGACAAGCCTTCCTTCCATGACAAAATTCCTCCCAATATCTCATCCTGACCTCCCCTGGTGCCACCTGGAAGCTCTTTGGGCAACTCTGGAGGGAGCAGGAGCAGAGAAGTGTTCCCAAGTAAGCCGGGACATTTTCCTCACTAAAATTCTTCAAACTCCTTGATTTATCCCTGTCTGAGATTAGGGAATTCATTAAAAGGGCCATATTGACCCCAAAAGTGCCCTCCAGCTGGGAATATCGACTCCCTGGCTGTCCATCCCTCTGCCCCAACTTTTCCTGCCAATGAATTTTTCCTCAGGGTGGAAACTGGGGGGAATGGGGTGGTGGGAGTTGCCAAAATGGGTGGGAAAGAGGAAAAATATCCATTGCTGTGTTCAGGTATGAAGCTAATAAAGAATTTAACAACTTGAGGGTTTTTTAAGGAGAAAACCACCAAAACCAGCACAAATTTAACATTCACATCAATATATTAAAGTTTTCCATGAGTTTTCCCAGGGTTGGGAGTGGAATTAACTGCCAAAAATTGATGTGAGAAAGGCTTGAGTTAAGTCAACCATTACAAAACTGATTTAATAACAAAACCAAATAACTGTACTCTCATGAACAGAGTCTTGGACAAGGGAATGGAATTCATGGGTGGGAATTTGAGGTTTTCCAGGGGTTTATACTCGTTCCAAAGCTTCCAGCATGATGATGCTGTTCCCTCGGATCACCTGGAGGGGGGAAGCTGAGAAGCACCCGAAGCTCTGCTGAATTCCCATTCCTGTCCCTTAAACTTCCCGCTCATTCCGCACACACGGTTCCACCAGTGCTCCCAGTGGTACTGACCACTCTGCTCCCAGTACTCCCAGTGCCCTCAGCACCCCGATCCCAGTGCTCCCAGTGCCCTCACCACCCCGTTCCCAGTGCCCTCAGCACCCTGCCGATATTGCTCCGCTGCCCGCCGCCATCTCCACGCACTCGTCGATGACCGTGAGGGTCCCCGGGCACCGTGAGGGCATCAGGGCGGGCCGGGGGTCCCGGGGCAGAGGATCGGGGTGGGATCAGTTCCACGACTCACACGACAGCTTCTTGTCCATGAACCTGCAACGAGAAGGCAGCGGGTGAGCACCGGCGGCTGGGGACGGGGCGGGAGCCCCCCGCCATTATCCCCTCACGAACCGCCCCCTCCCGCCGCCATTGCAGCGGGGCAGCGGCAAGCGGCGATGCACGCCGGGACACCGGCAAGCGGCGGACCGCGCCGTTCCGGTGCCCAGTGCCCGCTTCCCCCCACACCGTGCTCGGCTCCCCTCCCTCCCCGGTGCAGCCCGGGCCCGTCCGGACGCACTTTTTCAGCTCGGGCGGGTGCGCTTTGCTCATGGCGCCCGCAGCCCCCGGCCCGTCCCTGCCGTGCAGCCAATGGCGGCGCTCGGGGCGCTACCGCACTCACCCGAGTAGCGGCGCAGCCAGGGGAAGGCAGCGGGGCGGGAAGGGAGCGAAGCAGGGGGCGGTGAGGGGAGTGCGCGGCTACACGGGGAGGTACGGCGGCATGGCCCCCATCGTGTGCGGTGCGAACGGGCACGCGGTGTGCGCGTGTGCAGGTGAGCACACCTGTGTGAGTGTGCGTGTGTGCACAGGGTCACACGTGTGTGTGGGTGCCACTGTTCCCAAGCATCACCCCCCAATACCCCTCCTTACCTGCAGTGTCCCCTCAGCGCCCACCCAATCACCCCCAGTTCCCCCAGTGCCCCCCATCACCCTCTATCGCCCATCCCGGTGCCACCCACCACCCCCAGTGCCCCCCAGTCCCGCCAGTTCTCCCCCATCTCTCCCAGTTCCCCCCATCACCTCCAGTTCCCCAGTGCCCCCCAGTTTCCCCCATCACCCCCAGCAGCACCCGCGGTTGTTGGGAGGTGCCACCTTAGCCTTTAATGAGTGTGTGCTGCTGCGGGGGTGTCCCCGGGGTGTCCCGGGGGTGTCCCCGCTGTCACTGCTGGATGCTGGCCAGCCCGTCCCGCATCTTCTTGGCCATGGCGGGCACGAGGCGCAGGTGCTGCTCCCCGCAGGTGGCCAGGCAGGCGTCCAGCTGGCCCCGCACGCGCGGCTCCGAGCCCCCCGAGTCCAGGGCGTCCTTGGCCTGGTCCGAGCACTGCAGCGAGCAGCGGCTCAACCGGTCCTGGGGATGGCACAGTCACTGGGGACACTGGGGACACTGGGGGTCGGCACAGGACTGGGGGGATCAGGGGATGGACCTGGTGTAGGGGGCACTGGGGTTGCAGGGACTGGGGGCTCACATCCTGCCCAGGGGTCCCAGTGCTGTCCCAGGGGGTCCCAGTGCTGTCCCAGTGCTGTCCCCAGGGGTCTCGGGGGGGTCCTGGTCCTGTCCCCGGGGGTCCCATTGCTGTCCCAGGGGTCCCAGTGCTGTCCCCAGGGGTCCCAGTGCTATCTCAGTGCTATCTCAGTGCTATCCCGGTGCTGTCCCAGGGGTCCCAGTGCTGTCCCAGGGGTCCCAGTGCTGTCCCCAGGGGTTCCAGTGCTGTCCCAGGGGGTCCCAGTGCTGTCCCAGTGCTGTCCCCAGGGGTCTCGGGGGGGTCCTGGTGCTGTCCCCGGGGGTCCCGGTGCCCCCTCCTCACCTGGAAGTGCTCGAGCTCGGCGGTGACGATGGCCTGGGCGCGGGCCAGGGGCGCGTGGCAGCGCTCGATGCAGCGCTGCACCTCCTGCATGGAGGCTGCGGCGTCCTCGCAGCACCGCGCGCTGCAGCGGAACATGGCGCCCTGGGGACACGGGGGGACAAGGGGTTAACGGGGGCCACCCTGGGGACTTGGGGTACCCAGGGGACATGGGGGACAAGGGGTTAACAGGGTGTGTTGGGGGTCACAGGGAACGAATGGAGGGGCACAGGGTTTGGAAGGCGTAGGATGTGTTGGGGGACACGGTGTATTTATGGGGCACAGGACATGAACTGTGGGGGACACAGGGTGTGTTTAGGGGGCAGGGGGTGTGTTGGGGGACGCAGGGGATGTGTGAGGGGTATAGGAGATGCACTTGGGGGGCACAGGGTGCATTTAGGGGGACAAGGGGATGAACTGGGGGGGCACAGGGTGTGTTTAGGGAGCACAGGGAATGCGTGAGGGATACAGGAGATGTACTGGGGGGCACAGGGTGTGAAAGGCACAGGGTGTGTTGGGGACACGGGGTATTTAGGGGACACAGGGTGTGTTAAGGGGCCACAAGGTGTGTTGGAGAGTACAAGTAATGTTGGGGGGCACAGGAGATGCACTTGGGGGGCACAGAGGGTGTATGGAGGGGTCACAGTGAATTGAGGGGGGGTCTCAGGGTGTGTATGGGGGAGGTCAAAATGAACTGGGCGGGGCTCAGTGATTTTTGGGGGGGATCTCAGTGATTTGGGAGGGTCTCAGGGTGTGTATGGGGGCCGGTCCCGGCGCTGCTCGGGCACCCACGTGTGTGTGTGGGGGTGCCCCGAACCCGTCCCTGCCTGCCCCCCCCGTGTCCCCTCGGTGTCCCCCGGTGTCCCCGAGTGTCCCCGGTACCTGCATGCCGCGGATCTGCTCCCGCTCCAGCCCCTGCACCGCGCTCTCCACCGCGGCCTGCACCCGGCCCTGCGCCGCCTCCGCCATGGGCCCGCTCTAAACCTTAAACCCGCCCTAAGAACGCCCTAAACTGCCCTAAACCCGCCCTAAACTGCCCTAAACCCCCCGCAAATCCGCCCTAAACCCGCCCCGAACCCGGCCCTCCGCCGCCTCCGCCATGGGCCCGCTCCGCGGCCTAAACCCGCCCTAAACCCCGCCCCGCTCCGCCCTAAACCCGCCCTAAAACCTGCCCTGAAACCCGCCCGGAACCTGCCCTAAACCTGCCCTAAAACCTGCCCTAAAACCTGCCCTAAAACCCGGCCCAAACCCCGGCCCAAACCTGCCCTAAAGCCCGCCCGAAACCTGCGGGAATCGCCTCAAAATCCGGCCCAAACCCGCCGGGAACCGCCTCAGAACCGGACCCTGCCAGTGGACTCAGAAGCCTTTTGGGGCACCTCAGGACCCTCTTTTTGGGGTCAGGTCCCTCCTTTTAGGGTCAGAACCTCCCTTTTGGGGTCAGAACCTCCCTTTTGGGGTCAAAATCCTTTTTTGGGGTGCTCAGGACCCTCCCCCCGCCAGCTCCGCCCCTTCCCCCTCACACCGGAGGGCGTGCCCGCACGTGAGGGGCGTGACCTCGCTTATGGGCGTGGTCTGCATAATAACGGTACTGCCTCTCCCTTTATGGGCATGACCACCACAGCCCACGCCCCATCACGCGCCCCGCCCCTTTCCTCATGCCGGGGCGAGGCCTCGCTTAGAGGGGGCGTGGTCCTTACGAATGGGCGTGGCTTGCATACAAATTACCCACTGCTCTTCCCATTTATGGGCGTGGTCATCCCAGACCACGCCCCCGAGCGGCGCTGCCGGTAAGGGAAGGGGGAGGGGAGGGCAGGGGGCGGCCCCGGGGGGGTCCCCAAAGCCCGGGGCGGGTCTGGGGGTCCCCAAAAAGTCCCCGAACCCCCCCAGGACCCCCCAAACCAGGCAAACCCCCCCAAAATCCGGGAGAACCCCAAAAACTCCCGGCCCCGCCCCCATAACCTTTGCCCCCCCCCGCCCCCCTAAAATTTGGGGTCGCCCGGAACTTTTGGGGTCCCCCCGACCCTCTTGGGGACCCCAATAAACTTTGGGGTCCCCATCTGGTTTTCAGGGTCTCTTTTGGGGTCCCCTCAGCTCTTGATGTCCCCCCGGAACCCTCAAAGTTCTCTGCCCCCCCTTTTTTGGGGTCACCCGGAAATTTTGGGGTCCCCCTGTTCCCTCTTTTAGGGTCCCCCATAAAATTGGGCTCCCGGGCCGGATTTTGGGGTCCCGCGGGAATTTTTGGGGTCCTGAATGGGAGTTTTTGGGGTCCCGGGTGGGATTTTTGGGGTCCCGGATTTTGTGGGGTCCGGGAGTTTTTTGGGGGGGTCCCGAAGCTTTTTAAGTGTCCCGGATTTTTTAGGGGGGGGGTCCGGAGTTTTTTTGGACGATCCCGGATTTTTTTGGGGGGGGATCCCAGGAGGTTTTTTGGGGTTCTGAATGAGATTTTTGGAGTCCCAGATTTTGCGGGGTCCGGGGTTTTTTTTAGGGTCCGCCTTTTTTTGATATCCCTTTTTTTGGGGGGGAATCCCGGTTTTTTGGGGGGGGGGATCCCGGGTGGGATTTTTTTGGGATCCCACGGAGTTTTTTTGTGGTCCCGGGTGGGATTTTTGGGGTCCCAGATTTTTTGGGGTCCCAGGTTTTGTCGAGTCCGGGACTTTTTTTGGATCCCAAAATTTTTGGGGGATCCCGGAATTTTTGGGGGGTTCCGGGTGGAATTATTTTGGGATCCCGCGGAGTTTTTGTTGGGGTCCCGAGTGGTATTTTTGAGGTCCCAGATTTTTTGAGGGTCGGGGTTTTTTTGGGGTCCGCCTTTTTTTTTGGATCCCGTTTTTTGGGGGGGATCCCGGAATTTTTTTGGGGGGGTCCCGGGTGGGATTTTTTGGGGGATCCCGGGAGTTTTTTGGGGATTTTTTTTTCGGTTGGAATTTTTGGGGTTCCGCGGGTGGTTTTTTTTTGGGGTCCCCTCCCCCCGTTTCCTGTCCCCGCGGGGCGGAAGCGGCCGCGGGTGACGCGGGTGACACGGGGACGGTGACGCGGGGTGGCCGCGGGGACAGCGGCGGCGGCACCGCGAGGTGACAGCGGCCGGGGACACCGGCACACGGGGGGACACCGGGTGGTGGCACCGCGACACCGGGAGGTGACACCGGGTGGTGACACGGGGTGGCCGTGGTGGCACCGGGTGGTGACACGGGGTGGCCGTGGTGGCACCGGGAGGTGACAGGGGGAGGTGACACCGGGGGAGGGTCGGGGAGACCCCCGGAGCCCTCGCTGTGCCTTCCTCCTCCTCCTCCTCCTCGCTGTCCTTCCTCCTTCCTCCTCCGCGCCCTCCGTCCCTCCTCCGAGCACTTCCTTACTCCTCCTCTCTCCTTCCTCCTCCTCCTCTCTCCTTCCTCCTCCTCTCTCCTTCCTCCTCCTCCTCTCTCCTTCCTCCTCTGCTCGTTCCCTCCCTCCTCCTTCCTTCCTCCCTCTCTCCTCTCTTCTTCCTCCTCCTCTGCTCCTTCCCTCTCTCCTCCCGCACTTCCTCCCTCCCCCTCTCGAATCCTTTTTTCCTCCTTCCTTTCCTCCCTCTCCCCACTCTTTTTCCCTCTTTTCTTTCTCCTTCCACTCTCCCTCTTCCTCCTCCACGCCTCTCCCTCCTCGCCTCTTTCCCTCCCTCCTTCATCCCTCCCTCTCTCCTTCCTCCTCCTCCGCTCCTTCCCTCTCTCCTCCCGCATTTCCTCCCTCTCTCGAATCCTTTTTTCTTCTCCTTCCTTCCTTCCTTCCTTCCATCCTTCCTTCCTTCCTTCCTCCCTTCCTCCCTTCCTTCCTCCCTTCTTCCTCCATTCCTCTCCCTCCTCCCCTCTTTCCCTCCTTCCTTCCCTCCTTCATCCCTCTCTCCCTCTTCCTCCTCTCCCCAGGGTCTCTCCACGCCATGGTCACTCCTCTGGACACTCCGGCCACTGCAGAGCCACTGCCCGAGGTCCGGCACTGACCCATGGTCACTCCTCCGGCCACTCCGGCCACTGTGGAGCCACCCTAGGAAGGGTCTGGCACTGCCCCATGGTCACTGCAGGGCCATTGTCACTCTCTGGCCGTAGGGAGGGTCTGGCGCTGCCCCATGGTCACTGCAGGGCCATTGTCCACTCTCCGGCCGTAGGGAGGGTCCGGCAGCGCCCATGGACCCCCCCAGGGCCCCCCTGCCCCCCCCGTGGCGCTGCCGGCGCTGGACGCCATCGCCTTCTCGGGGGGAGGGGCCGAGAGCCCCACACGGACACTGGACCCCTGCGCTGACCCCTGCAGTGACCACTGCAGAGAGCCCCGCACGGGACACTGACCCCTGCGCTGACCCCTGCAGTGACCCCTGAGGTGACCCCTGCATGGACACTGCTGACCACTGAGCTGAGCCCTGAAGTGACCACTGCAGTGACCCCTGCACTGACCCCCCTCCTTGACCATGACCCCCACCCAAGCCACTGCACTGACCACTGCCTTGACCCCCACCCTGACCCCCACCCTGACCCCTGCCCTGACCCCCCGCCCTGACCCCCGCCCTGACCCCCACACTGACCCCCACACTGACCCCCGCCCTGACCCCTTCCCTGACCCCCACACTGACCCCCACACTGACCCCTGTCCCGGCCGCGGTCCCGGACGTGTTCTGGGCCAGCCTGCTCCGTGCCCAGCTCTGTGTGCAGGAGCTCCAGGGCGCCATCAAGGGACAGACGGACACGGGTGACCACCTCCAGGAACAACACCAGGACCTGCCCCAGGAACACCTCCAGGATGGGCTTGGGAGCGTCTCCCAGGAGCTCCAAGGCCATGAATCCACGTTTGAGGGAGATCTTCCAGGTATTCATGGATGAGAACATCCCACCCGAATCCGTGATGAGGATGAGAACATCTCACCCAAACCCATGGTCACACGTGAGAACATCCCACCCAAATCCATGGTCAAGGATGAGGACATCCCACCCAAACCCATAGAGGACATCCCACGCAAATCCATGGCCGAGGATGAGGACATCTTCCAGGTGTCCACAGATGGTTCCATCCCACCCAAACCCATAGAGGACATCTCACCCAAATCCATGGTCACACATAAGACATCCCACCCAAATCCATGGATGAGGATGAGAACATCTCACCCAAATCCTATGGTCAAGGATGAGGACATCCCACCCAAACCCATAGAGGACAACGTCTCACCCAAATCCATGGCCATGGATGGGAGCGTCTCCCAGGAGCTCCAAAGCCCTGAATCCACGTTTGAGGAGATCTTCCAGGTGTGCATGGGTGAGGACAATCCCATCCAAACCCACGGCTGTAGATGAGGACATCCCACCCAAATCATGGCTGAGCAATGAGGACATCCCACACAAATCCATGTTGATGGATGAGAACATCTTCCAGGTGTCCACAGATGGTTCCATCCCACCCAAATCTACGGATGAGGACATCCCACCAAATCCACAGCCAAGGATGAGGACATCCCACCCAAATCTGTCGCCACATTGGAAAACAGCTTCCAGGGGTCCACAAATGGGTCCATCCCACCCCAGTTCTGTGCCCAAGGATGAGGACATCCCACCCAAGCCCACGACTGTGGGTGGGAGCATCTCCCAGGAGCTCCAGGACCATGATCCACGTTTGAGGAGATCTTCCAGGCGTGCAAGGATGTGGACATCCCACCCAAATCCATGGGCATGGATGAGAACGTTTCCCAGGTGTCTGCAGGATGGATCCATCCCACCCAAGCCACGACCATGGATGGGAGCATCTCCCAGGAGCTCCAAGGCCATGGATCCACGTTTGAGGACATCCTGCAGGTGTCCATGGATGAGTCCATCCCACCCCAGGCCGTTCCCATGGGACCAAAGCTTTGAGTTCCTCTTTGGGGGCATCATGTCCATGGGTGGTGACACCTCATCGTGGACCGTGACATGGATGGGATCCCCTCACCCCAGTTCGTGACCACGGACGGGACCTTCTCTCC